GGGAGGGGAGCGGCCTGTTTCTCTTCAGGTGCCCCCCTCAGCTCCAAGCGCTTGTAAAACCCACTGCCCCAATGATTGCTGGCCATGCACGAGACGGGAGGGGAGCATCAGCTGGGCCTCCACTCTGTCGTGACTGGTGCAGCCGGCAATAACACCCCCAAGAAGAGCTCTTTGCCCCAAAAGAGCGTTACCTAAGGCCAAACAATGCTCTTCGCGTCATGCTGTTGCGGCTACAACGCTTCCCGACTTGGAGGGGGTTTCCAAATGATGCTGGTACTAGCAGCAGCAGCAGTAGGAGGAGTAGTAGTTGTTGTCGTAGCGGCCCCCTGCAACCTCCCCGCTTTTTTAAGTCGTGCAAGCTTGCTTCAAGATACCAGTACTAGTACTAGTACTAGTGCTGCTGCTACACAACTGCGGCCTCTACTACTGCAACTACAACGACCACCACCACCACTAGTTACGACTTGTACGTACTACGACGACGACGGCAACTACGACTACGTGGCGAATCAGCAAGATATTCTTTTCTAATCATCCTCCTGATCGTCGTCGTTTCTACATCCATGCTTCTTTGTTTCCTTCCTACCTCTATGGTGCGTGGCATATCTGATATGACGAGGCACCGTGATCTTGAGTTCCAGCAGGTCCAAGCACAACAGCTACTGCGGCAGAACCGCAGTAGAAGTAGTGGTGGTGGCAAGAATAGGAGCAGCATTAGCCGCAGGAGCAAGATCCTGAAGAAGTTCTTCGATAACGAGAAGGATGACTACGAGAAGGATGCCGATCAGAGGACTCCCGACTGCAACATGCTGAAAACCTAGCGTCCATGGTCTCTCACGACGACGGCCTGAAGCGACGTGTGTTGGAGACTGACCGAAACGCCGACTGCAGCTGGCAGAGGCCGACTCCTGCGACAACAAGTACCGACTGGAGCCGAGTGGAACAAGAGTACCAGGGCTGAATACTGCTGAGTTGATGCCCCCCTGAGTAGTTCGTACAGCGGGTAGGTGTGAAACGTTTGAGTAGTTTGCTCGAGTGTGACACATTATGTCACGTGTATATACGCTGTCACTGCACATGGCGCGTATGTCGGAGCGGGCATGGTTTATTTAAAGCAACCATGCGGGGTTTCGGTCTTGCAGTTTGCCTCCCCAGGTCCCTGGAGGAATAGGCTCAGGACTTTGAATGCTGAGAATGCTTGGCAGCCGGTTGTTTACGGGTTCTTAGCTGCTAATGCTATGTTTCGGGCATCGCATGTCTGAGTTTTGTGCACTGGAGATACGGCATTCGGCTCTCTGAGCTGCCGCGATTAACTCCTCGCGCATCAGGGTGTAGTGGATGGCTTCGTTACGGCTTTTCCGCTTTTGCGGCCGGTTTGACACGTTGCGCCATCACCCGCACTTGACTGACCACTCCCGCTGCAGCTAGATTTCGCTCCACGCTTGGGGACCATGCCGTGAGTGCATACTAGTCAGTGGTTGAGTGCCGAACTTTAATTAGGTGCCCCTCGTTTGAATTTATTGTGCATTAGGTGCGTCCGACTCGGAATCTGGACCTCATGAAAGAAAAGAAACCATCCACATTGGTGACGGTACCGGCGAAGCTCAGAATTAGAATTAGAACAGTATCTGTTTCGGATGGTCCTTATTTGTCGTGCCCATTGCAGCCAAGCAGGAAGCAAACTAGAATTTCGGAGCATATTGGTCGACCATGCGCGTCTAAAAGTTTCGGTGCCCCTAATTTTGAAAGGGGTCTTGAAAATACTGAAAGTTTTAGAGTGTCTAGGCGAGCCCGGAAAAGGTTGAATGACTGAGCGCCGGAAATGCTTGGACCCGACAAGCCGAAATGGCCGCAAGCGACTGCGCCGATTTGTTAAAGCATACTGAGAACATATACTTAGTTAGACTCTATTCAAAACCGAGATAATTCAAAAAATGAAGCGGATTCGACGCCAATATTCAATACAATCAAGCTAGATCAATCAGGTTAGAAAAACCATCACACACATACGAAATTGAAGAACGAGACACCGGAGAAATTTGAACAACTACGTAAGAAGAGGAAAGACAAGCCAGCTGCTTTGAGAGTACATCGGGGGGCATGGTTAGTTGTGACGAAAGATGAGGGCGGCCCGTGTCGAGAAGCAAATGACGATGTCTGACTTGTGACGGGAAGCCAGCTAGAGCTCGGAGAAGCCCCAAGCCACACTCTCCACCCTTGTTTCTCAGAGACGGCGGACATGTAGGCGAATCTGTCAACCTTTGGACAAATTGGCCCAGCAAACGTCCAACAACCTCCATCGACGGTGTCGAGCTCAAGAGGACGTGATCACTCGTCAGCTTCGCTCGGTGTCAGCGATGCGCCTAGAAAAGTGCGGGAAGCATAATGCACTTCATGTGCTTTCACAAAATCCGCCGATGCCTTGTGAGAGCAAAGCCAACTCGTAGAGCACCTTCTCAAAGGTGCTTGAAAGATAGACAGGAATCAAGTCTGGGGCGGCCTGCTCAATCTTTCTTAAGGTGCCCTTCAAAGGGCTCATCTTCTGGCCCAAGCTTCCAGGCCTGGGGTGCACACAGCAGTGCACGCCTTGACTCCATGGACTCAGCCTGCCTGTGCAGGGGGCTCTCAAGCGACGCCTCAGGTCCGGGCAGGAACGGGAGCAGGGAAACGCTGTCGTAAACGGCCTCAGCATAAGAACCCTCGATGTAGAGGATATGGTCAGAACAAAAGACTGCTTTTGAAACCTGCACGCAGGCCAGGCAGTCTTCGATACTTTCCTGACCGCCGTCAACTGTTCGACACAACACAAACTGTGAATTTGACGCGAGCTTGGGCTGCGTTTCCGAAGGCCTTCCCACGACGACCTTGGCCTCAGTCGATGTGAGAAGTCTGCATAAGCCCAGGGCTGTGACCATCTCAAGCAGCCCGCTTCACATAGTGACTGGGAAAGTTCCCTAACCTCACATGTCAAGCTCGGGACTGGCTGTCCGTATAGCAAGTCGACCAACCTCTCCTGGTTTGGGCAGACCCCGCAATAAGAGGCCAACTTGCCAACTCTAAATTCTTTGGAATCCAAGAGATCCAACCAATACCGCCCGCACCCGCGCGTGATTGCCGGATATCTGCTTGTCATCGAGCACTTGGGCGGCTGGCGGGCAGGCTGTCTTGGATTCTGCAGCCATCGGCACAGCCTTGACTAGCGAGCTCTTAGACGGTTCGCCACCCACCTTCAGCGTGGTCCACCACCATACCTAGTGTACGCTTGTTAAAACAACTGAAAGACCTGCAAAGGTTCTTGCCGGTTGAAACGCATCGTTGCAAATGCCAAGGCAGAGAAGCCAAGGCAAGGTCCACGTGTCGGAGGAGGAGCTCTTGAGCTCAACTCTTCCGCTGCTAGTACTTGACTCAATCGCTCTCAGAGTCGTCGAAACTCGTCAAGATGCCCTTTGCATCCACCATGGCCCCGCTGACTGCTGGCGACTTGGAGGCTTGCCAAGAAGGATGGCGCTCAAGCTTCTGCTGTCCTGAAAGCCGGGACTTCGACTGCGCATCACACATTCGGAAGTAAACGGGAGCACGAAGGAAATCACTGGCTGCATGATGTTTTCTCTACATGAGAAGCGATTACCGAATCACCTACAATGCCGAGTCAAAGGCAGGCTTGGTCATCACCCGCTGCGCATCGCTACGCCGCTACGCTCTCCCAGGACCCCTGCCCAGCCCTGGACCTGGACTCGCACATGCTGTGTTTGGGTGGGCTTCGGTTGAGGAGGTATCCTAGTAGCACGTTTGGGGATCCACGTGGGTTGGGGGCACCAGAATATACCAGAATATTGTTAGACTCCTCCCGAGGCTTACTTAGTCTCAGTTGCCAATTCTTGATAACCTGGACCTGATTTTCCTTCAGGCGTGGTCCAATAACATGTGCCTAGCACGTGGCACCTGTTGCAGTGGTACATACGGTAGCGTTTCTAAGGGTGTTCCCGGGGTTCAGATGCTGCTGTTCCCGACCCCTCGGCGCTGGTGGATGATCGGTCAAAGTACGACGCGAACAGGAGCAAGTTGCGGCGCAAGAGCACAGCTACTCCGTGTTGGGCTAACGATCGAAGGTGTGCTGTGACATGTTTTCCAGTTGCGCTTTTGCCAGAGATATGACTCATGTCAGGCGTCATGTCTCACCCCGTCAGTCTGGCACCTTCTATATCTGTATTGCCTTGTAACTAGATACACTTCCTGGGCGAATTCCTGTCATTTCCTGCCTCATTTCCATGGGGTTGATAAGTTACGTTATGCTCATATCCAGAGGGCCGTTGCCTTATTCAGCAGGATCCATGCCTGAATTCGGTGGGATCTATGCCTGGTTCAAAAAGGTCTTCTGGTGCATGAAACTTACTCTTCCTTTCGGTCCCATTGCACGTAAATCCTCCGAGATTTCGCTCTCACAACTCGGACAAGCCCCCCAGATTGAGGTTTCGATCCGGCTGCGAAATCAGGCCTAAATCCCCCCGAATAGCTAGCACATGCTAGCACAAAGGTTGTAGGCGATCTGTCTACAGAGGGAAACGTGATCCAAACTGAGCACTGAGGGATCCACCCCTTGTGCCCTCTGAAAGAATTTTGGGCAAGCTCTGCTTAGTCTGCAGACTCCCTGCACCAACATGTTGGAGAGAGGCAGAGAGAGCTGGATGCAGTTCTTCTCAAATCAAGGCACGGATGCGCTCCAGGCGTTCTTTGCGCCGTTGCTTCTTCGTTTTTTTCCATGCTCCTCCCAGCACATCTCACCTCTCTTGTGATAGGAATGCTCAATTTGGTAGACAAGATTCAAGAGATCAAAAAGCAAGGCAGGGCACTTCCGAGCTGGTGCACCGTTTGTGCAGGCACCGGGCAGAGGCTCCTCGTTCAGACAGATCAGCTGTAACAACCTGCGGGGGAAACTTTCCAGTTCCGTTACCCGGTATTTCAGCGCAACACTCATGCCATCCCGTGGGGGCCATTTGTTGTCATGTCATGTTCATTAGGCGAGCTGAACTTGGCCAAGCATCAGGCGGCATAGTGAGGTCTTCGGCAAGGTCGAAAAAGTCGTCGTCCTCCTCCTCTTTCTCATCAGCTGAGCCATCCTTCTGTCGAGGCTGGTCTTCCCCAGTGTGGATGGCTTGGATATCCTCCGTAGCCGGCTCTTCCTCCTCCTCCTCCTCTTCTTCCTCACCCTCACCCTCACCCTCACCCTCACCGTCGAAGTCAATGTCCGACAACACGGCTGGACACACGGGATCTTCAGCAGCTTGCCCCGTGTCTTCGCCCAGCCCTATCTTTGCCATTGGCAGGTCAGGCAGTGGCGCCTCTTCTTCCGACTCCTCGCCTGCGGCCAGGCGCAGAGCACGGGCCTTTGCGGCAGCCTTCAGCAGTAAGTCCACAGCGGTTTGCTTTTGCTGCGCGCTGCGTCCAGCGGCACCTTTGTCATCGATCTTTGGCCTCTTGCCTAGCAGCCCTTTTGCAATCTTTTTTCGGCAAGGCTTCTGGGCACGCTTTACGCCTGCCGATTGATTCGTGCGACTTGTCTTGCTTGATATTGTAGCTTCCTGTTTTTGAACCTTTGCAAAGTCTGCACTCTTTTGCCCAGGCGTCGCAGTTGATCTTGAAGCTTTCCTTCGCGCTTGCCCCAGCGGCTGCAGAGGTTTTGGTCTGACAGGCTGCGTGTCCGTGTCTTGCGCAACGGCCTGCTTCTTCTTGCCCTTCTTGGGTGCCCTCTCGGCAATTTGCACACCATATGCCTGCTTCTCCAATCTTCTGTCTGGCTCTGCGCCGGCCGGGCGGGATGCGGTGAGACGAGCCAGCTTTACTCGCAGGGCTTCGGCGATATTGTTGCGGCCGGATCGCTCGGCTGCTTCCAGGGACTTGCGACAGGCTTTGACCTTAGCTCGATAAATCTCTACCAACTCTGTCTCACAAACATGTTGGCCGGCAGCACCTTATACAACAGCTTGCATTCTTGCAGGGCTACTTGATCATCCAACGGCTTCTCCTTGATGAACCATCGCGACTGCCCGCGGTCTTTTGCTCGGCCCATCAGAACGGCAGTTTGGGAAACGCTAACTTAGAATACTTTAGCAAGATGTTGTGCCGTTCCAGCTACGGCCAATCCCAAATCGATCTACGTTGCATGTGATTGTCATTTCAACACATGTACTATGCCCTGTGTGGTGCGAGGTGCTTTAGGGAGAATGGAAGTTGTCCTGGCAATCTGAACAAATGCTGCAGTGCTCCCTGCGCCAGCGCGGCAGTCTTGGCTCCTGGATCCTTGCTAAGGAACTTGATTAAGTTTCCAGAATTAGAAACCCCTATCGTAAATCCCTATTCTGGTGACTCAGTTCCTTAACAAGAACCCAACTTCTGACGGAAATCGGGCTCCTGTGAGGTCCATGAGGCCGCCCAAATACTCGGCCAGGAGCAGGGGGAAGTCCAGGCCGCTGATGTCCTTCAGGCTCGAAGCGCTCCAGGCTCGAGCTGCAGGAACTATCAACCCACGAGAGACCACGAGACTTGGAGGCGCACTTGCATCTCTTCCATGCTCAGCAGCTTGCCGTCGACCCCTTGCGGAAAGCGAATATCGGGAAGAGGACATGAGCAATCCGAGCCCTCCGTGGCCAGACGCTGAAGTGATTCTAAATTGCGGTGCCTAGAGAACGAAGCCCCGACCTGTTAAGCCTGATTGGTGCGCGCCCAATCTACAGACAGCCCGGCTGGTGGGCTAGGGGCCAGGGAAGAGCGAAGCCATGGTCAGGCGACGACTGGTGATCATTTTTGAAGATTATGTACGTATCCCGTTCGTTTCACCGTGACACCGCGCATCCGAAGCACTGCTGGGCGAAACGACAAGAGCCAACTTCCGAGCAAACATCATCAACACATTGAGCCTGCCCAGCTGGCAAGTGGGACTACTTACTAATACATCAGATCATGGCCAGGCCGATGCGGAAGCCCGTCGCTGAGTGTCGGGCGAAAGGCACGATATGCGAGCGCCTGCAAGAATGGATTGGCCCGTTGATTCTTATCGAAACGGGATGGTTAATTATGTAACCCCGAAGGACTGCCTCGGCTAACTCTTCCAATGCGCCGCTGAAGAACCCAATTCCTGACTTCATTCTGGAGCGGACCGGGTGCTGAGCAAGTCTGAAAGAAGACCACTGTCTCTCGCTCAACCAAGCTGAGATCAGGCACCCACATCTAAGGACAACGCTCAATGTGGGCGAGGCTGCAGCAAACGATGTGTAGATGCCGTTGGCCTGCATTCGATTGCAACGAACACATGCTTGCAGCTTACGTACAGCGCCTTCTGCGCGCAAAGCTGCAACTGCTCATCTGCCTGAAGCGAAGCATCGCTTGGTCACCATTCTTGCTTCTTGGGCGGCCTCTGGCTGAGATCTCCGACTCAGGCTGAGGCTCTCTTCTCATCTGAACCTGGGCCCGCGACCCGTGCACATCTCTGAGACTTCTGGTGCAAATGGTGCAAATTCTCATGTCTGAACTCTGTCAAAGGGATCTGACGATGCAGTGCGTAGATGGCATTCCTTGCTTTTCAGAACGAAGCAGGATCTCCGCACGGCTTTTGACTGCTCTTGAAACCCTGTTGCGAATCAACAGAACTCGCCGATGCTGAAAGCTCGATGTGGTCTGATCTTCATCATTCCCGTTGTGCTGTGAATGCGTCTGCTGACGTGAGGCAAGCGGCTTTGCCGCCTTGACAACGTCGCGCGACTGTTTCATTACCTGCATTACAGAAGCAATGCACTCATTGCACTTGTGCTGGTGTGTCCTTATGCTCGCATTTAGCAGAGCTGCTCACATGTCCAGCTTAGACTTCTGCGGAAGCGAGAGAGCCACAAATCGTGCGTCTCAGTTTTGAGGCCTGCTCCCGACGCTCATCGAAGTCATCGTATCCGAGCTTGATGATCTTGATTTTGAGGCTCTGCTACATGCAAGGATGCCACAATGCAGTGCTGGAGGCCCCGGCGCCAATGCTCTCCAAGTTCAAGGCTGGTGTGACATCGCTTGCCTTTTACCAACGCCGAGTGCTCGCGCACATGAGAACGAACCTGAGGGTCATGCGGCGCTGGGATCTGGAGCCAGCTCGTCCCCAGCTGGACCTGTCCTTGGAGGCAATTCGCACGAAAAGCCGTGGATTCAATTCTCCTGGTTTCTTGCTCGGGAGAGTGGCCGAGTCTGCAAAGCACATGTGTCATGTGCCCTGAGACCGTCCATGTGGTGGGCCTGTGGGCTAAGTGTTTCTGCTAATAACGTGTGCACGCTTTCATATACCCGAGGTGAGTGCTTCACGTGCGCAGCGCCCGACCAACTGGGTTGGACTCATACTCATACCGGTTTCGGTTTCGCCGCCTTGGACAAGAGACTTGCGGCATCTTCCGGGCACATCCCGAGCCAAGACCAAGAACAAGGCGGTTCAAAACTCAGACAAGCCAGCGAGGCATGCAGCTTTTCCCTGCCGCAGCCGGCTGTGGGCTCCCCCCACATGGACTTAGGATTGAGGACGGTCCCAGTTGCAAACACTTCGCTCCTTCTGTGGCACAGAGCGCTCGAGTCTCGACACGCGGTTCCCGCAACTAGCAAACCTTACTCATTGGTCTCGCCACTGCCACTCACTTCAAGTCGTCGAGCATTTCCTATCTTGTTCAGCCATCGCAGTCTCGGGGCATCTTCTGTTGATACAGTACAAGTAATTCGTGCATTACGCTACTCGCTTAACAACGCCGTCTCACCTGCCGGCGTATGTCGGTGTGGAGTTTGTATGCAGTAGGTGGCACCGTCTTGTCTTTGCAGAGTGTCCGAAAAGGATCCAAACAGATTTGAAATTCTCGCCGAACATGCTCAGTGCTGACGCTCGCAGCATGAAGCCACTCTCACAAGATACTGTGCTGTGCTGGCTGTGCTGGCTGACCCAAGCTATGTTCACCATCAAGGGGCTCCTCTGTCAGCGCTGAGGGATCTCGCTGCCTGGCGTCTGAAGCCATCTGGCTTCGTCAAATCATTCCGCTTCGCTAGGCCGCTAGGCCTTGCCAGGTCGATCTCGTAGACCAGCGACTCCAGCCTTGGCTCTCGGCTGCCAATGGCCAGCATCACAATTTCTCCAATGGCGCTGCACAAGTCGCGCCGTGGCCCTCTCAGCACTGGACTTCTTGACTGTATACTTCACCCCATCGAAACCTGCCACGTGCTTCTAGCTGCGATCATGGCACTGAATGCCTGGACTGCCTTGGACTGCGATCTAAACCGGTGCCGTCTGAGCCCGGTGCGGACTCGCAAAGCACTATTCCTGAAATTGAACTGCATCAACGCCTGCAACAGGGATGATTCACAGTCATGATGCACAGTCATCAAAAGCCCGAACAGCCATAGCCATCGCCGTTTCGGCCGTTCTTCTCCAAGCTTGGGCATCTGTGAATGAAAACTACACTGGAGTCAGGGAGTTACAGGGCAGTGAATGCACCGAGGGCGCCTCTTCCATCGTCTGCGCTAGCTCGAGGCAAAACTTCACCGAACGAAGATCGAGGGACTGGCACCAACAAAAACACAGAGCAGCTCAGCAGCTACTTGTGGAGATTTATGTTACTTGCAGTGACTTGCTTTGCAGACGAGCGAGGCGGGCAAACAACGTGGATCTATCCGGTGCTGGCAGCCAGCCTGCCCACGATTCACAGCATACCTGTCCGCAAGCTGTTCAGGTACGCGCAACCATGCCGGTCTGGGTTTGTGTGTGTGTGTGTGTGTGTGTGCAAGGCAGCAGGAAATGCAGGCGCCTTTCCAACTCTCTCAGGCTGCTTATGGCACCAAGCAAGTAGCACCTTTCTATCTTTCTGCAGCATTGTCTTGCGCGCGTTGCGATATGATCGACGCAGCTCGAGCTTCACGGCTACTGAGCTTTGCGCTCGTTGTCGAACTCAGGGATGCCTGTCCTCCAGCGTGAGGAGACCTTCAAATGTGCAGATACCAAGCTGCGACCTTAGTGACCGCGCCCAGCCTCCGGGAGAAGCTCGCCCTTTTCCAGAAAGCTCTTTAATCCAAGGGTTTGGATGTACACCTGGCACGAAGACCGGCGTTTCAGGTATACTGGTCGGGTATGGGCGAACCCGACCGACATCATGGTGTCTGGGCTGAAACTTGGGAACCCGTTCCTCAAGGAAGCCGGCGACATTGCAGGACTCGCATAGGCGAAGACGTCGTGGAGGCGACTGCCAAAGATCTCGGGAGGCGGTCGAAGGCTTACGAAAATCTGTGGCCCGCTGACCTGGCCTCCAGCTGCATCACTGAGACCAGGAAGCTGATCCACCTCCTGCTGCAGGAGGTTGTCTGGGGGTACTGGGATATCGAGCGCTTGCCAAAGCAAGCCCTGTCGTCATCCCTCCCTCAACAGATAGATCCAGCCAGCCCAACCTCCAACATCCTCTAACTCTAACCGACGACTAAGTTGGCTCTGCAAAGGCTTGAGCTCTTCAAGACACTGTGTCCCGCACGCGTCCTCGAGGACTGCCTGCGCCCCTGCAATGTCGGAGCCTCGTACGTGTGTATATCAATGCGCGTTCAATTTGTTTCGAGCAGCTGAACACGGGGGTGGGCTTGACAGGACAATACCACCAATTTGCAAGTCATGTCGCTGGGGCTCCGAGCACTGCAACTTTGCGCAGGCAATGAAGCAAAGCCGTCGGCCAATGCCTACCACCTTCCGTTTGAGACTGAGGCCAAGGATGAAGTGGGATGCAAACGCAAGTCCTGCAAAAAGAGCATCCGACCAAAGCTGCAAGTCTTTGCTATCCGCCTCCTGCAGGCCGGACCGAGCTTCGAGGACCTGCGGACATGCTGAGCCGCTGCTGGGGCTATCGGTTCCTGCCTCCTGTGTTTGCCAATGGCAACAGTTCTTTGGTGTGATGGGCAACCATCCAACGAACTAGTTCATCCCACATGACATGCTATTTATTGCAACTGCCTCGAGAGCACACTGCTTTTCTTTGCCTCTCGTGGTGCCTTCCGCCGTTTGTGAATCAATGGAGCGGTCCCATCTGAAGAACTATTTGCAACGGATCATTTGAAAGGCGAATTGGCTGCACTTCGGTTCTGTACAGGAAGACATACCCCTTCGGAGTTCCGCTAAATCCGGGCTGTAAATAGTGAAACCATTGTGCAGGCCTGGACTCTGGATGTGCATATTTTAAGACCTGATGCCTTTAGCATCCAGAAAACTTCTTCAAGCGGCTTCGAATCAAGCTGCAGTTCCGAAGGCATGCCAGGACCGTTGACTTTCCGAACTCCAACATTTATCAGTATGTTATGTTTGGTAGTGATGATCTTGGCACCGCTCTGTGCTCAACCTCAGCCGGTACTGGCTAAAGCCTTCGGTGAATCCAGGGGCGGCAAAGGTGTAAGGCCTGAGTGGCTTCAGGGCTGCTTGCACCGGGGGCCTTCAGGAAGAGAGGCTGCAGCTCGAGTGAAGCGCGGAGTCACCAGATTCTGCCAAGAAGCTCATCTTTTCGGGATCTCCTTGTGGAAGACTACCCTGCTTGCCGTAGCCAGCACTTGGGGCAGCCTTAGCGGGTTCAGAAAAGCCACAGCCTCATACACACGAACTCGAATATGGCAGGCTACACCTATCAAAATAACTCGCCGAGCCGCCGCATCGAGTTGTCTGTTCCTCCAGTGTCGGCATTCTTACAGAACGCGAAGGTCAAGCCCAAGCATCATCTCTCTACGGGACCCTATAGCTGCTCGAATTCGGGTCTACTGCAGTCCAGCCTGGCGGACACTGGCCTCGCAGGGGCACGTGATGGAACGAGGATGTCCGTCTCTGCGACTTCCCGCTGGGTGGACAGTATGCCAAATGCAAGCCGAAGCACGGTAAGCTCTCGTCTCGGGAAGGCGTCCGAACCCTTGCCAGTCCTCGCCCGCAGCCACGCAACGCAAACACAAGTCAGCGACATCTCCGGCAAAAGGACCAGGAGACGAGGCCTTCAGGAAGCTCGCTGTTAACGCCCAGCATGGGCAGCTCGTTCATCGGCCTGTGCTTCCACGGTCTCCGCAAACTTCGGCTACAGCGTTCGTTGCTCAAACTGTGCTGTTCGCTGTGCCTATGACGTGCCTAGGTTTTGGCAGGAAATTGCCTGGCAGCGCAGCCCTATCAAGAGACCTGAAGCACCGAATGTCAGCCGGGTCTCCGCTTGATTGCTGGCAGGCCATATGGCCTGTCCTATGGACAACGCGCATGACTAGGAGGTCAGGATCTTCTCTCGACAGGCAGTCCAGGCGAACAGAAATTCATTCTGGCACTGCCAACGAAGCCCAACCCTCAAGGCCAAGCAACTTGGTCCCCGCTCCGTCCTGCAGGGCCCCTCTTGGGGAATTGCCTCCACGGCACGGCCACTGCACCGATCTGGGCGCGCAAGCTCTGGATGCTGCCGTGCTTTCAGATGTTGGATTAAAGATCTCTCGGAGAACTCAGGACCAGAGATTAAAATTCTTGCTTTACATTAACACCGGGTCAGATTGACCAGATCTTAAACAATGATCCTGTACAACCTTGAATCTCCATATTTCTCTAGTCCATGCTGAGTCGCATGCTGCCGGCCTCGTGAGAAGTCTGGTTGCTATAATTTAAACTTCAGGCCTGAGAAGTACTCAGCCAAAGGAGTCACAACATGTTAACTTTTTGCCGACCTGATTGAGGGTAGGCTGCTTTCCCCGCAAATTCGGCAGCATACGACTCGGGTGTGGATGGTTTTCGGCTAAGGATGCGACGCGGCGGGCTGATGGCACAAGTGAGCCCGTAAGAGATTGAAACGATTGTTGTGTAAACCAAACATCTCCAACAACTATAAGCAATCTATAAAGCATGCCCGTGTGCACTGGAGTTTCTCTCGTACCCGTATCTGATCCAGCTAACTCGTAATCCTTGTGTTGATTTCTTGCGGGTTGCTTTACAACAAAAACTCCATCCTGCCACAGAGAGCTACCAAGAAGGCAGCAGGACAAGAAGGAGGGGAATCTTGTCCGACCGTGGTCGCCATGCGAGTGGCCAAGCAGTGGTTGGATTCAGACATGGTCAAAAAGCCAGAAGCCAGTAAGAAGGATTAGATGAATTTTTAGTCAGTTCTGGGCCAGCCGAAGAATACAAGGACCGGCCTCGTGTTTCGGGTCGCTGCTTGGGCGGCATAGAGGCTCCTTGCATTCACAAGGAAGTGCTGATTCTACTTCACAGTCTTCCTGCTTCCATGGAGTTAACCATAGCGGGTCACACCCGTGCATCAGGGCCGGCGGTGAGATCTGATGGCCTTCCTCAATATCCAGCCAAGGTGCTGCAGGGCTGGACGGTAATCCATAGCCTTGCTGCCCACACAAGGCGCAAGGATGCGCAATGCACATCAGATTGCCAAACGTCTTCCTTCTGGCACGCCCTGCCTACGGAGTCTGCCACTGTTCATGGCCGCTTCACAAGAGGGGCTTTGAGGCCCCGGCATGCCCACCACAGGAAATGCTCATCATGTCCAGCGTCCAGGTGTCTTCGCACAATCCCGTCTCCAGTGCGGGGGATCGGCTGCAGCGACAGGCAACCAGAGCTGACTCTTTGGGGTCCTCATGACGTCTAGGATGAGACAGGCAAGCTTGAGAAAAGTTACAAGCTGGGACTTGTACAGATGCAGCCAGCTCGTAGACCCCGGTCACTTCATGTCCCGGATGGTTCACATCCTGTCACCAAGATGCAGAAAGGATCGCGAAAGCAGTCGCTGCGACCGCTCCTTGCCTTGACCTGGAGAGAAACTCCGCTGAAAGCACCGACCCTTAGCTCGACAGGTCTTCAAAGATGTAAGCGTGAGTTTGATCTGAACGAGAGCCAACTTCGGCACGACCCCAACCGAAGTTGACAAGTAGGCAATGTTGCATGACAGCGGGTCTGAACTTTAAACGGCTTGCCAGGGGAAACCTGCCGGAAGATGTACAGGCTGGGAGTGCCTCTTGCTTCGGCCAGACTTGACTTCTTTCAAGAGTCGGAGTGGTATGGTTGGACAGCACGAAGAAAACGTCAGTGACGTTGGCCGGGAGCTTGTCCAACTCGACCTATCGAAAAGCGAGCCGCCCACCCTTGCCCAAACTTTGGTCTCATCATCCTCTCTCTGGGACTCGGCTGCCCAGTCTTTCAACTTAGGCTCCCACCTGACATGCCGTCTTCCCTTCCTCAGAATGGTGTGTATGTGTGTGTGTGTGTGTGCATCTGTGTTCGTGGGTGTATGTGTGCACGTGCCAGATTCCGACTTTGAAACGGCGAACGTAAACTGCAGGGGCTGTCTTTGCCGCCCGGGATTCCCTTGCGGCGTAATTCTGGGATCCACCAATGTGATGCACCGCGCCACCGCTGGCATCTCCAATCGGGATCTGCCCAACCTGAGCTCGAAAGTGCTTCTAGTTGCCCCTCCCCTGCAGCCGCACTCCCATGTTTCCCGCATGTTACAGCTATTCTTATATACATCACAACTTCCAATCAGACTGAGCATGTGGCCCAATAGCCGCGATAGTCCAGCCTCAGAGTCTTGAAAAGGAATGGTGCAGTCTTTGAGACATGAGAGGCTTCATGTCCCAATCTCTTGCTCGTAATCTGCCGTCGTAGACTGAGCAACAAGTAGATGGAACTCTGCTGTTACTACGCAAGAGGCCTTATTTGGCACGAAACACACCGGGTGCTCCTCCCGCGCAGACTGGGAACTACTGGGAAGGAGAACCTGCTTCCTGCATGCTTTGGCAGGATTATCCAGAGTCCGGTGGCTGTTTCGGCTTCGCAGTTTCGACAGTGTTTCGACTCTCACAAACGCACCAGCAAGCGAGGCTCAAGGCATTTCCACCATCTTTTGGAACTCAGGCTGAAATCTGCATCAGCAAGGAATGAGTACTGCATGTCGGCAAACCACATCAACCAATCCACCTCTCCTACCTTAACTTTGCAGGCACAACCAAAACACAACAGCCAATCGTTTCGACCTTGTTTCATGAGAACTTTTTCCGCGGGAAAAGCCGTGGAAAAGACAAGAAGTGTACTCATGCTCCTGTAGGTGAGGCTGTCTTTGTCGCCATTTGCTGCTGTTTTCATATTGCTTCCAATTGCCGTATGTAGTGCTACCTATCCCAGTTTACATTAGCTTTTAGTTGCTAGTGTGGATAGAAACTTATATATCTTGAGTATCGTGACTACCAATATGCTATATATTCTGGCAATAGGGAGCCCGACATTCCAAAACCCACTTCCCAGCCATTGCAATAATGAAGCCTATCATTTCCCCTCTTTTGCTTCGTGAATCTGGTGACATGTGGCTTGCTCTCAGGACGGGCAGCACACCATTCGTTACCCAGCGGATGCCATGCGCTCCACGGTAGTCCACCACTTCGCGTAACGCCTGGCCTTCAAAAAGGACCTTAGGTAAGAAGCCACGATCTGACGATGTGTGGAGACTCCTTCGACTCACGGCACGGGACACAGCTAAGAACAGTAGCTCCAAGTCACGCAAGTGGTATCCAAATAACAGTTCGTAGGATCCTCCTCCGTGTCCTCATCCTTTCAAGGACTGTATATGAAAACCCAGCCTTTTCGTCGTGACCATCAGAGGTTCCAGCAGAATGTGCATGGCAGGCTGGTCAACAGTACGTGCCTAACCGCCTGGCCTGTCCGTATATAGCATCATATTATATTCTGGGTTACCACTCTTGCAGCGAAGCCGATGCTCATCAGCTCTTCCGCCGGGCCTGCTCCGGAAACTTGTATTTGAACTCGAACTCGAGGTTCCCTTAGCCGGCCAAGCCGTGGACACAAGC